TCCTCCATCTCTACCTTTACAAGACATTACAAGATCCACACTGTAGCATCTTCAGATGCAGCTTTCGGGAGTTCTTCAGCACGCCGTGACATTGGAGGAAGATGACGACCCACCCGAATGAGGGACACTGCTCAGGGAGGTCCCATGGAGATGTCCTCCACCTCAGAGGGAGAACGACCATTGGACACTTACTGTGAAGGGTCCTTCTCCTCTGAGGACAGGAGGACATCTCGGCCCTCCCACTGTCATCTTTCTCTGTTTTTATTTCTCTGTGCTGATTTCTTCTCTCGCTCTGTATTACTCTTACTCTGGGGTTTCTCTACCCTGCAGAATTGGGTTGTTACATGTTGAAGTTAATGTTCACAGTTATATTTTATAGGGCAAGGCCAGTTATTTCAGGCTACAGGCACTGCTTTCGGAGTCCCAGAACTGGAGATGGGCTATTCCGGATGCACCAACAGGATGGGGAAAAAACTATTTCCTGCCTCCCTAAAGGCACAGTGGGAATAACCCATGGAGATGTCCTCCTGTCCTCAGAGGAGAATGACCCTTCACGGTAAGTGTCCAATGGTCATTCCCTCTCTTAGGTCCCCACTTTTTTACGTCTAATTGCCATGCATTCAAAAGCTTTTGAGGAAACTAATAAGTGTTACTGGTTGCCCACATGCTGATGCAGCCAACTGAAGCTGAGGAGTAAACTCGTGGGGAAACTAGAGGATGTCTGCCACAAATTTTGCTTTCTCAGTACGTCTTATACAAACTATATGCCAGAACCTGACTCTTTCAGCAATGTGCATTGCTGAAAGCAGTGCATAAATGTTCTGTGGGTGAGAAGGCCATTGAGATAACTGTCCTATCAAGGCAGCATCTGCATTTCTGACCAGGGTTTAAAACACCGAAGAGAGGTGGAGATTCTTCCTATGCATGGAAAACACACAGGAGAGGTCTCTTACTTCTGAGGACTGTTACTATGATACTTTAGGCTACTGCAAAGTGTCCTTTACACATACAGTGAATCTCTTCTGCCTCAGACTGTGGTCAAGACAAACTGATATGTGTTTACTAATGATTGTTACCTTTATGTTGTAAACTGCCATGGAAGTCACTACAGAAATGATGAATTTTGGTAGATTTTATGCATATGAAAAGTTTTATTGAGGAGTGCATCCCTTATGATTGTGTGTTTCTCTTGATGGAAATAGGGTGTTAGGAGGACATCTCCTTGTTCTTCCCCATTTTCAAACTGCACACCTAAGAACTTTGCTTCCAAGGAGTAGGAGCTACCATGTATGTTATTTTTTGAAGTTTATGTCTGCAAATAGCTGCTCACGTGATGGGCTACTCTGTCTGAGCTGTATAACATCCGAAAATCTAAGGTAGAGCCTCATGGATTTCAAGATAATCGAATAGAGATTCAGAAGATGGCGCCATTTCTCTACCATAATATTTTGGCATCTTCATGTATGCCCAAATACAGGTCAAAGGTTTTGTTTTGTTTTTAATTATGAGATCCCATTCAGTGCATTCAGATAATGTTCCAGACTCGGTGCTTAATTTCTTGTTTCTTTTCATTTGCTTAGAAATAGCAGTCTGGCATGTGTACACCATTCACTATGAGAATGCCGTTCTTTGGGATCAAGACCCATATGGACACCTGCTGCTTTTCTAGAGACTTAGAGAGTTGGTGATCCAGATGTCAGTTCTGGGAGGTTGTCTCATCCAAACTTAATTCCTCCTTATGGCAGCTTAATAAACGTTACAAAGTTTCAGCAAACTTTCTTCTGAACTGCTGTACTGAATTTCTTTGCAACAAATGCATGATCA